TCTCTCGCTGTGTCTCTCTCTGTCAAATAAATAAATAAAATCTTAAAAAATAAATAAATAAATAAATAAATAAAATAAAATAAAATTAGCCTTTGGTGTGGATCCAAGGGTCTCAGGCTTCCTTTGGGTCACAGACTGTGGACTAGTGGCTTTCATTTTTTTTGTGTTTGCTGAATGGATCAATGAATGAATGAATAAATGAATGAACCCACCAGACAGTCTCTTCTATTCCTACTCCATTCCTTCCACTTTCTCCAAGTAACTCAAATAAGAAAAATGACCCAAACAGACCAATTTCACAGCACAAACCTATTCATTTGGCTAAACAACAATATGATGAATACCAAAAATACCCTCAGCGATTTTCATGGCTTGTTTTCATCTTTCTTGCAGGTCTTTAATCAAAACCTATTTATCCAGGTGGAATGAGAATCTATGCACACACAAATATCTGTATGTGAATGGTTATGGTGGCTGTATTTGTGATTGCCAAAAGCTAGAATTTATCCAATTGTCCCCCAACTGGAGAATGGATGAACTATGGTATAGTTATACAATGAAATACTACTTATCAAGAAAAAGGAACAAACTACTGATACACAGAACACAGATGAATCTCAATGACTCATCTTTCTCTAAGAGAGGCCAGACTCAAAAGGCTACGAACTGTATAATTCTATTTCTATGCCTCATTCTGGAAAAGGCAAAACTATAGGGGCAGAGAACAGATTAGCGGGGGGTGGGGACAGGTGGTGACCGTTAAGGGGCACAAAGACATGTTTTAAGGGGGGGGAACCGTATTTTGATTATGGCACTAGTTATATGACTATATGCAGCTGTCAAAATTCACAGAACTGTGTCCTAGAAAGGGTGAACTTTACTGTATATAAGTTATACCTTAATACAAAAAAATGGGAGTCATTTAACCAATAAGATCTTCCCTAACCACTCTATATCAAATAGCAACCCCCTGCCCCCAGCTCTTCTCATCTCCCTTACCCCCACTTTATCATCCCCCCCCATGGCACTTAGCACCATATAACCACCTATATATTTACTTGTTTATTTACTGTCTGCCCTTCCCCTATGTCTAAAGCAAAAGGTTTTCGAGGGCAGGGACTTTTTCTTTTTTGCTCACTGCTGTATACTCAGTGTGCCTGGGACAGAGGAGGCACTTGGTAACTATTTATTGAAGGAATGAGCAGTGGTAACGTTAGCAATTATTCACCCACAAAGCTTCACCTCTGCAGATTACGGAGAAGCAGCCCTGTGTCCTGGCTTGGACATTGCTGTGTGCCCACAGGCAAGTCAGCTGACTGCGGATTATCAGCTGCGCATCTGTAAAACAGAGAGTGCGGCTACCCACCTGAGAGCCACGCAAGGACTGTGTGAGGAGGTGATTTCTGAGATCACAGAGCTGATGACTACCAGGCCTGTGGTAAAGCCCAGGGTGAGGCCCGCTTCCACCAAATGCACCCTGGCTTGTCACCGTTATCGATCCGCCTGTCCATCTCACCGAAACTTACTGAGGGCCTGCTGTGTGCCAGGCAAATGCCAGTCAGCACACACCCCTAACCTGGGAACTGAGAGGAAAACCACACACATGTAAGAAATCAGAGCTCGTCCTCAAGGGCTTAAATGTCAAGGTGTGTGGCCCACAGGAAAGGCTTTTTTTTTTACCTTTTGTCATAAAGGATATTGATAGGACAACTGGCAAAATTTGCATAAGGTCAATAAATTAGATGATAGTATTGTATCAATGTTAATTTCATGTTTTGATCACCAAACTGTGGTTTTTACAAAGGACTGTCCTTGTTTTTAGGAAATATACACTGAAGTATTTGAGTGTTGAGGATACCATGTGTGCAACTTACTTTCAAACTACTCATAAAAATTATATGTACAAATATGTATATAAGTGCATATGTGTGTGTAGAGAGGTAGAGGGAAGGAGAAAGGGAAAAAGCGAGGGAGAAAAAATACATGATAAAGCAAACATGGTAAAATGCTGATATTTAAGGAATCAGAGCAAAGGGTATACAAGAATTATTTGTACTATTTTTGCAACTTTAAGTCTGAGATTATTTCAAAATAAAAGTTAAATAGGAAGTTTTTTTAAAAGGTTTTATCCAGGGGTGCCTGGGTGGCTCAGTCGGTTAAGCATCTATCTGCCTTTTGCTCAGGTCATGATCCCAGGGTCCTGGGATTGAGCCCTGCATTGGGCTCCCTGCTCAGTGGGGAGCCTGCTTCTCCCTCTCCCTCTGCCTGCCATTCCCCCTGCTTGTGCTCTCTCTGTCAAATAAATAAATAAAATCTTAAAAAATAAATAAATAAATAAATAAATAGGATTCAGTGGGCTAGCCCAGAATCACAGAAGGCTCGCAGGATCTGAGAGGTCCTTTAGGTCACTGGTTCTATTTTCCTGACTCTGAGTAGAATTCTAGACCAAAATATCAAAATCAGGTGGGGGGCAGGCGTGGTTTCCTTTTTTTCCTTCATACTGTTCTCTGTCACACAGATGGTCTGTAAAGCAGGTATTAATGGTAGATTCAGAAGCAAAGGTTATTAACACCGCAGGTGTGGGGGGTGGGGACAGGTGGGGGAGGGCCCTCCCCTCCCATTTCTAAGGCCCGGCTGATCAAAATGCTGCTGCTGCCAGGACAGCATTTCTCATCCCCTTCGGCCCAGGGGCTGGGAGGGTCATTCTCAGGCCACTCCCTCCCTCACTGACCTGCTTTCGGAACTTCATCCAAGTACAGGTGACGGGCTGGGTGCCTGCCACTTTACCAAACAGCTCCACGGACTCTCCCGCGCGCACCTTTTGGTCCTCAGGAAACTGGATGATCTGAGGGGGCATGGCTGAGAGAGGACAAGTGACAAAGTGAGCAATGAGGAAGGAGCCTCGGACACACTGATCTCACTCAGTGCTGCTGTCCACACTGGTCTGTTCTTCTCTCGCCTTCTAGAGCCTTCAGGGTAACACTGAGGACAGCGGCCACTGCTCCAGAATGTCTAATCTCATGGGCCTGCTAGGTTGGTTCATGTCTTTATTTGGATTCTTCCAAAGTGGCCCACACAATTTACATGGCATAATTTTCCATGTGTCAATTGCTCTGGAATTTGCATCTTACCCTAAATTTTTTAATCTACCTGCTAACTCCTTTAATTTTTTAAATGATTTTATTTATTTGACAGAGAGAGAGAGCAAGCAAGAGAGAGCGAGAGAGTCAGAGAGCACAAGCAGGGGGAACAGCAGAAGATGTAGGAGAAGCAGGCTCCCCGCTGAGCAGGGAGCCCGACACCCAGGGAGCTTGATCCCAGGACCCTGAGATCATGACCTGAGTTGAAGGCAGACGCTTAACCAACTGAGCCACCCAGGTGCCCCCTGCTAACTCCTTTATTAATTAAGCAGCACCTTGCCTTCGAACCATCAGGTTACCCTGGCTGACAGGTTCAATAGGGTTCATGTCCTCAAATGTCTTTCACTGGGAAACAGACAAGGCTCTATATGACAAGGACATACAGAATAGAGCATTAAGACAGCACAGACTGGATCACCTCCTTAAATGGCAGCGTGGAGGGCAGAGGGTTAGGCAGAATTTCACAGAAGGGATAGGAAAGTCACTCATACTGTGTGATGCCATATGATGTCCCTACAGCTAGGGACACTACAGGGGAAGCAGGAGAAAAGACAAGTAGTGAGAGAGGGTAGGGTACTAGGCTGTGCAGAGGCTCTTGGGGAAAGTTTGGTCTGAATAATGCAGAGCTTGAATCAGGGAGGGGCAGTGGTGGTCTCGTGGGACCCTATACCAGTGCTCAGTCTAGCTGGGCAAAGGAAAAACCCCTCATGGCAGATGACTCTTGCCCCCAAATGCTCCTGGTGGCCAATTACCTGCCTTCGGAGGTGTCTTGGGGGCGGGTTTCTTTTTCACAGTTGCATCACCTGAAAAAGAGACATTCACAGGTTATTTTCTGTCAATCTGGCTTTTCACAAAGCTCCCAAATCCTAGGAGCCTTGCCCACTGCCCCTGCCCCAGGCAGAGCCCTCACTTGAATGTGTTTTTCAGGAGATCTTGCACTCCTGCATAGACAACCTCACAACTGAGTGAATATCAGTTCTCAGGGTGGGGGAGGAGGCCCTCTGTAAGGGTTTCCGGAGCCTCCATTGAGATAAAAACTCAAAAATGCTTGAGTCTCCGTTGTCCATTTCAACGATGATAACTCCACACTCAGTAACTATTCTCTCATCCGAACTTCAGGAAACTCAGACAGGAAATTATGTCAGACAAACCATCTAAAATTAGCCTTTCAGGGGCACCTGGGTGGCTCAGTCGTTAAGCGTCTGCCTTCGGCTCAGGTCATGATCCCAGGGTCCTGGGATCGAGCCCCGCATCGGGCTCC